TCTTCGAAAGAAAATATAATTTTCAATTAACTTGATAAGAAAATAGCTAAAGTTCTTTTTGTCTTTTGTAAAAAAAAAATTTTTTGAAAAAATAAGTTAAATATATTAATGGGGTGTATTTTTATTCTGCAGTTTGTAGTTTCAAAAACATTCATGAGAATAAAAAAATAATTTAATATTTGGCATCTTAACAAAATACCACTATAAATATTAAATTACATTTATTAACTTTAAAAATTCATTCAGGGTTCGTTATGCATAATTTATTGTATTTCAAGAGCGTAAAATGATATTAATTTTTGTAGGGTGCAAAATATTAAAAAACTATATTTCAAGAGTGCAAAATGAAATTAAGCCAATTATAATCTAACTCTGATTTTCAAATTTTGGTAGATTTATTCTAATTTATTAATCATCATCCACTAATATTTAACCTTTTAGGTCATTGGACGGTCAAATTCAAAACCTCTTTCGTATGGTAGAAGAAAGGCAGAAGTTACAATTAAACAAAACAGAAAGAGGAATTTTATTTTGCTAATGATGTCGTTTTAGAATATTTTGAGCATCCTCTTATTAATTTATGTCAGATATTTAGCTGGTGATGCCACATTCCTATTAGTCGAGGCTAAGGGGTGGAAATCGGATGAAACGAATTGGAAATGGTTTTTTCGAAAAAAAATTAATCGTTTTTCTTTTGTAAATTATAAATAGGTTTCAATTTCGGTTCCGAAAAGATCGGAATTCAAAAATCCATTCGATTTCAGAGTGCGTCGGGATCGGCGAAATTCCGGAAATTTAATTAAGAAATTTGTTTAAATGTATCACCTCTTGTTTCCAAATTCGGAAATACGGAATTTTCATAATATTTTCATTCTTTTCCCAAAATTTTCAGTAAATGCGAGAAAATTAAAAAAAAAAACTCAACAAATGCAATAAACAAAATCACGTATAAGAATAACAAAATGCAACACAGAGTTTATGATAAAACAAAAAGGGCAGCAAAGAGTTTATTTGGCAACAAAGAGTTTATGAATTAATCTTATCTAGGGTTTTACTTTATTTGGCCCTTGAGTATTTATATTTCTCATATAAAATATAACATATATTATATTATGGAATTACAAAAATATGTTATAAAACTATATTATATATTTCAAAAATTACAATCAAAATATTACAAACTAAAATTGGATCGGAAATCAGAATTTCCGGTAATTTTATATACAACTCCAATGGTATTAAAAAAAAGTTGGAAAAATCAGAAATTGGAAAGAAAAATAAGGTTCCGAATTCGGATATCTTCGAATTAGATTCGGCCGAATTCAGAATGTAATTCAATTTTCACCCCTAGTCGAGGCGATAAAAAGCCCAGAAATAAATATTATTATTTCATTTACTTCCGTATGGGCATGTTAATAAAATTTTCACGTTTAGTATATAATATACTTTCACGAATGCGATTGTAACTAACATATCGACCAATGAAATATAAACAAATATGTGTGCAAAGAATATTGGGTAAAGTTTGATAAAGAACATCATATAATTAATTAATACTAATTGTTTAAAATTTAAATTAATGAAAGTTGGTGTGGAGCCAATCTAGAAAATCAAGTGAAAAAAACTGCACGCAAATCATGCCAAACATGCTAATACCATACATATCAAAGATTCCTAATGGATATTAATTAATTAATAAAATGATTAAGTACTTAGCTTTAAGCTTCGATTGGTGCCATTACTTTCACTAATGGTGCTATTTAATTAGTGTAATGGTCCCAAAAAAGTGCTTTTGTTACATTTTGTAAATCCACAAAGAAGAATCGGGAGGCTTCTCGTCGCTCAAAATTAAAGCTTCGTTTGGTTGATAAGATTTGTCCAGATTAAATAAACAATCGGACTTAGAATGTCTGGTTAATCCAATAATGTTTTGGGTCAACTTCTAATTGTGAAAAAAATGGCTCTAAAATATACTTAATTGATAAAAACAGTACAATTCAATTGAATTTTCATATGATTAATTAATTTTATCATGACTAATCTTATTAAGAACCAAACGAGGATAAATAACATAAAAGATGCTATTAATTCGAGTGTATTAATGCTAGCTTACTGAATCTATAATTTTTGGGGTGAATAACATAAAAGCTCAACGTCGTCTGGATACGTGAACCAAATTTGTCTATGTTCGTTTACGTCCAATTTGTTACGTGCATACATTTCAATTTCACGCAACGATTGTGGGAATGGGCTTGGATTTAAAAAGAAATTCAAACGCTAAATGAATAAATTAGATTTGTAAAATTTAAATTTCCTTTATATTGAAGAAAATTTTACCAAATCTCTTTCCATTGACGAAAATTTGCACAAAATCTCTTATGGCAAATCATATACTCCAACACATCTTTTTAGTCTTTTAATCGTAATAATCAATGAAAAATATAAATAGTTAATAAACGAGGCAAACTTCGGCCACTTCCAAAGAAACGTCAAATTACTAAAAAACCTTTTATATTTGGATAATTACAGCCATTCCATCAACTATATATTTTCCTACACTTGGATTCTTACTGTGTCATATTTACCTAATTTGCCCTAATAAATATGATGACAGCCAAAATACACTACCTAAATTATTGCCAAACATTAATAATAGCAATATTCTAAAAGTAAATTGGGAAAAAAGAAAATGTGTTCCGTAGTTGTAAGTACAAGTTGGACGGACTATAACAAATTAAATCTCTTTGGCTGTTTTAATTTCTTTAATTTAATTTGTTTTTCAAGAATTAATTTCAAGAATCCCAAAAGCTAGACAGCTTGCATGCAATTATTTTGTAAGCTCAAACAAATCTTTCATAAAGGTTTCTTTTGACCCTTTTCTTCAATCTTTTCTCTATATGGCACATTTCTTAATTCTTCTTTGTTATGATATTTTATTTGCTACCTCCACCGAATTTTAGTCCTAATAATTCTAATATAGATTATTATTAATAAGCAAATGAAGGCCTCACGGCATGCGTAATGTCGATCAAGTGAAGTACACCGAGTATTTTTATATATATGGAATAAACTTTCAAACATACGTCGATAAATTAGAGAAAAGGTAACGCCATTCTGTGTATGCCTGTACTTGGGTTGTTTTAAAATTGAGCTAATTATTCAAATTACTATGATTAATCTAGAATATATACTGAATATTTAAAAACGAATTTTCATTTCCCGTTCACGTCCATTAGATGTAACAATATATCGCAACTTATAAGTAGGTCTCCTACTGAGCATACTAATAATTGACATAGATATAGGGGAGTGGTTTAGTGCTCGAGCTATATGATTATGATCGTAGAACGGGCTGGTATGTATTGAGGATATTTGT